AGCCCTGTCACACAGAGGACTGACGGAGGTAGCAGCACCCAGGCTCCTCTGCCTCAATCCCATCGTCATGAGTGTGATATGCTCTAACTCCCAAGGGTGACTGGCACACTCACGTCAGTTCTCCTTTCTTTCTCCACTCGCTTTAGTTCCTCCTCCTTTTGTCCCTCTCCAATTTAGGCCTATGAGGTTTGTCTTGGGTATTAACTGATTTTTGTTGGTGCTCTTACTCCAATCCAAACAGGTGGCCCATTCATGTGCTGGCCTTCAAGGGCATCTCTACAGAATGACAGCAATCAGAACTCTGTGAGTAGATCAGGAATTCTCGAGCTCTGTAGAGCCCTCAGACTATCCGTGAAGTTACTTTCTGAAGTCCCAGAGTGTAATCAAGCCAGCAGTGTCCAGGGTCCTCCATAAAATTGAATTAGAGTGCTGAGTGAATTAACTGTTTGCTCTTCTTCATATGCAATGCATCTTTAATTACATTTCATAAAAACGTCTGAATGGATTGATGGGGCTTTATTTAAACTTGAGATAGGCGCAGGGAGTAAACGATAGCGCAGTATAACATGTTCTGTTAATGCAAGCTCAGAACACAGTTACTGGATGGCAGTTCCACAGTCTTTGATGTGGGGGGCTACTTAAAAATATATTACTTTTGAAAAGATTTCCTTTGAAAGATAGAGTGGGTGCTTAGCAGCCTGTAAGCAGTCAACAAGCTGATCTATTGACAAACATGGAAACACTTATCATGCACTCTACTGGCTCCCAGGATACAGGCAAAACCCTGGTTTCTTTTAGAAAAAGAAGACATCTCTTCAGATCCCTTTCATTCACATTACGAGGCAAGGCTCAACATACAGAAGCTCCTCACAATGAGAGGTCTCTCTGCCCTGAGAGACAGTCTATCAACATAGATTATCTTAGGTTCTGGATTGGGTATATGATGAGAGAAAGGGGATTAGATACTGCTTACAGTAAACAACAGCACACAGTCAGGCTGTGGAGGGAGGTGATAGCTCTTTTTGAAGATTGTATTTATACTTGCAAAAAGCTATCACTGTTCTGCCAGAATAGTGTATTTGCTTTTTCTCCATGAATCCTTTTGATGGAACCAGAAAATTGTGTTTTTCCCCTGGGGCAGAACTGTTTGCTATGTTACTAATGTGTGATGAAAGGTTGGGTTAAGCACCTCTCTCTCCACAGCTCTTGGGATGGCCATCAGTGGGGAGGATGAAGGCTATACATCCCCAGAAACGAGTTGCTCAAATAAAAGTATGGGTATGATATACACCCCTGAAATTAACCTACAATAGATTCTTCCTTGTCTTTATGCCCAACATTCTTTTTTTTTTTTTTTTCCTTTTGAGAGATTTTTGCTATAAGGCATGTGCACTCGCCAGACAGACAGAAAGTGAGAAATCACCCCCCGGGAATATGGTCATGCCACAGTCCCTTCTCCTCCACTCTCCTCTCAGGATTCTGGATATGTATGCACACATGCCCGGCATGAGTTTCAAGCTTCTGGGTCTGGGACTTGGAGCACAGTCTACCATGTGGGAGTCTAGCACCTAAATCACTACACCACTGCTTGCCCCTTATCCCCAACACTCTTGGTTCCTAACTCTATGAAAACTTGCAGAATTAGGAGCATTTGATGGGTTGTGTTCAAGGCTTAATAATAATAAAACAGAAACAAACAAAAAATGAGCTCTCACTGGGAACCAGCAGTTAGCGTAATGGCTATGTCGCTGGATTCCCACATAGTCGACCACGGTTCGCATCCCGGACCCAGTAGCTTAGAACTCATGCCGGGCGCGTGTGCGTGCACGTCCAAGATCCCGAGAGGAGAATGGAGGAGAAGGGATT